AAAAAAGAAAAAAAAAAAACCGATAAATTTTAGTTTGCTTATTTTAAAATCTAGATTTCATATAGATTTGAACCTTTCCCTTGGCCTCTGGAGGAGCTGATCTGAGATAATGACAACCTTGAAGATCACAAAATACATTACATAATATTAAAGACTACAGGTATTTTTGAGGGATAGAGACATGCCAGTACACTGATTGCATTGCAGCGCCTGCCTGACGTTTTTAAAAAGAGGAGCAGAACATTGGGCCTCTAATAAATCATGTTGTACCCTGGCCACAGACATTAGATCTAAAATCAGAACATAGCCTTCAACAAAACTGTAAGAGCTACAGACTTGTCCAGTGGTATTCTGATTTCAAACACACACGTACACACCCACAAAGTAGAGCTAATGAGGCAGGCCTACTTAAGCAAAGTAACTAGAAAAAGCCTAACTACTGAATAAACTAATCCTGGTAAATCTTGTCCCATAAAACCATATGCTGCAATAAACCGATTCTCTCAGAGAAAAGCCTGGCAAATTCTCAGAAGGTAAAAATGCTCCGGAGCCTTCAGGGTTAACTCAATTGCCTTTAAAAGAAAAAGGACACATATAATTTCCTTTTATCATAAAACAATGCATTTATTATTTTCTGTATATCTGTTAAAGGGCATGGCTTTCTGAGTGGAAAACAAAACAGAACTTGGTCACATGTTTATTTGCTTCAGCTACTCCCTTCCCCTTCTGATAAATAATCAAACATGCCATCCAGAAAAAACAAAACCAGTGAGCTGGGAAATTTGATGGTCATCAAATAGACTGAGATACCAAGAAAAGCAGCCCACTGTTCCCACACTGAGTTTTCAGCCCCCACACCTACACTAACATCTGAGTAAATACCTTCAGTCACTCTTTCCATTTTCCCTGCAATACTCCTACTGTTAAACAAATTGTCCTTAAGGCAGTCACAAACATCTTATTTTTTTCTTGCAAAGGAGAACAACTTCTGAACATTCAAAAAGCCATCGCAGCCACAGCAATACATACACACACACACACACACACACACACACGCAAACTTATTTTATGTATTTAAATGTTTCTTCCATTAGAGGTTTGGACGACTACAGAGCATATTTCTTTCTCTCTTCTAAGAGATGCTGTTTTAGACACTAAAATTTAAGGATATTTAGTCTGGGGAATAACAAACAATTAGCAGTAACAATTCCTTAAGATCAAAAGAGCTAATTTTCCATTTCCTGTCTATTCCCTGACCAGTAAATAGTTAAAAAAAAAAAAAAATTTAACACCTGCCTTACCAATTACAGTGAAGCTGGGAGTCAGGATTGGGGGGTGTGGAGGGAGGGGAGAGAGGCAAGAGGGATGACTACAGCCAGGAAAAGGTGGGAACCCTTTAAAAAAAAATGCCAAACCATGTGTTTAAAAAGTCATTTCAACAGAAAGGACTAAGAGAGCAGTTATGTTGTTCTTCCACACAGAGCAAAGGGGCAGCCGGAGTCCGAGGGTTTTCCCTGCCATACTAATTATCCACAAAGAAAATTTTGAAAAGAGCCTCCCAACATCAAAGTTAACAACCATCGCTGAAAGTGAGGCAGGCTTTCTCCTTCCTTTTGCAGCCCACTCCACTGAAACAATAGTAATATGAATGAGATAATGACCATGCGTGTTTCAGCAGTCTGACTTTTATTGGCATGAAATTGGTACAAAGATTATCAAGACCGATTTACAAATGATGACGGTGGCATGATGCAAACATCAGAGCACAATTCCGTAGACGCAGAAGGACAAAGGCACCATCCCCGTATTCTCTTACTACTTGTGATAACAGGAAGGAAAAGAAGGCAACACAAAACAATGTCACAAGAAGCAGAGAGAGGTTCTAATCTACGTTCAGCCTATAAAACTCTCCTGACAACACACGGCTGCCTACTGAGCTGATTCTGTCCAAAGACACGTCTGAAAGCAAGGGAGTGGAATTAAGCAAGAACTTAGAAGGAACCGGTCCTCTCAAATCTCTAAAAAGAAAAAAAAAAGGCTTTGATGGAGAGAGGAGGGAGGGAAGAGAAAAAAAGCAGTAAACAAGTTGGATCATCTTATTTTGCCCTCCAGAGAAAGTCTGCACAAGAACGGATCCCTAGTTTCAAAGTTTAACCCAGCAAAAATGTTCTTTTTCTCTGGACACTTACAGAGAAAATGAAGAGTTTGACGAAGGGAGCCCGTACTGTCTGCCTTTGGATTTCCGTCTTCTTGCTGTAGATGGGTTCTGGCTGTTTCTGTGAAGCGGGGGTTGCCGAGTGGTAAAAAAGATGTTTGAATAAACAGGAAGTGCTGTGCGGCTGAAGCACACTCGAGGAGAAAACACACTGGAACATTGCCCTTTGTAGGCAAACCTCAGGGAGGTTGCCTCCACAGTAGCTGGCTGGGCTCTCACTAAATGACAAAGAAACCACAAGAATTCCTCAAGTAATTCTTCACTTTCAAAGTTGAAAGATCAGTTCGAGCTTGCAGGTAATTTTCAAAGTTGCATTTAGCACTTAAAGAAATCTATTAATGCCACACGTATCTGAATTGCTCCAGGTCTGCAAGCAGCGACACAGCACAGGCAGTGCGCCCTGGCTAGACCAAGCCCTAGCCAAACACAGCTCATTCACGCAAATACACACCAACAGGGTTTCGGGAAACCTGCTCTGGAGATATTTTTGTGGTGACATTTACATAGCCAAGATGTTTAAAAAAAAAAAAGAAGAAGAAGAAAGAAAATTCAGATTTTGCAGACTTTAGAGGATTTTGTCACATGTATTTTTAAAGAACACATCGTCCCGCATTCTAGGGATATGCCCTGGATCTCCTTTTGGCTGCTTTTTCTTTACATTTTCCTTTTCTGCAATCAGCCAAACTAACCTGTTTATCTCAAGATGCCTAGCTTGCCTACTTGAACACTCCTTAACCCACTCCTAACTAATTATCAAAGTCCTGTCTTCTGTCACCCGGGTATCTTGACAGATACTGTAAAGAAAAGTAAACTGCTGAAGGCACAGCAAGTCAGCTTGAAAAATAGGATGAAGAGTAGAACAGCCATATTCAATTTAAAAAAAAAGAAAGAAAAGGAGGAAGAAAAGGATTCCTTCCGAATATGTATTGCTGTTGTGGCAATGTTCTTCTGCCACGGAAGCAACTGATTTGTTATTTAGCGTGGAATGCTGGACTGTCTGTCATCCAGGTGCTAATACTCGGCTAAAATAACTCATTGGGAGCTGTCAGTGGGATGTTTACATAGGCCCCAATCTTTTCTTCATAGAAGGAAATTTTTTACTGGAATTCATCTTCTTTTGATCTCCCATTCAAAGCAACGGCAGCTTGATAGACATTCAAGTCTGAAAGCAAATCCAGACGCTGAAGATAAACCGCCAGAATATGACAGGCAGAAGCATCTAAAGCTTATAAAAATGAAGAGAACAGCATGTCGCCTGAGTATTACAATAGCAGAAATCAAGAGACATATTAGGTGGAACTGATCAGCCACAAAAACAGTTCAAAAGGCAGATCATAGACACAGAGGACTAGGCTAAGGGGAAAAAAAAAAGGGAAAGATCTGGTTTACTGCCTGCCCTCCCGCCTGAGCCCCACGCCTGCCTCTCCACTTTTAGAAGGGGTGGAGTATCCGATGCAAATGTTCCTCTCTTACTCAGCTGGTCCAGCAAATGATTTCCGAGCAATCCATTTGCAAGGGGCAGGGGAAAAGGCAGACTCTTACCTTGCTCAGTGTCCAACATGCTGCATTTTATTAGCATTTCCTGTATCTGCTCTGAGATGCAGTATCAAAATGCACACAGCCTAGGCACTGTTGAAATGGGCGGTCAGGAAAACCATGTTTCAATAGAGGGGCTATAAGCAGTTCAAGATGGGACTAGAGGGCTCTAAGCAGTCCAGTTCCCTAAAATGGGTTGTGACTGAATGAATACAAATGCTCCAGCCTCAGTCGCACACACACATAGATACGTTCTGTCCTACAGATACATGTAACTGCTCAACACCTAGTAGCTTTTAAGCCAACACCTAGTAAAGCCTTAAGGAATTATTGCAAGAACTTTCTTAGAAGCACACCATTCTTTCTTTTTTTTTTTTTTAAATAAAGCCTCTTATTTTAATTAGAGTCAGTGCGTACAACAAAAAAGTAATTCTCCTAACAATTTTGTACTTAGAGCTGTTTGTTAACAAACACTGAATGGGAACAGGCAGCATCAGGTTAAAGGGCAACAGAATTCCACATTATAATTTAGCCTGCGGTTATTCCTGATTGCGAACACCCTCTGGGACTGCAAAGCAAGATTTTCTTTTGCAGCACGCTTGGATTTTTAAAATTAGTGCCTCCCCCCGCTTTTTTGCATAATAAACCGAGAGTAGAATATGGATTTAAAAATGTACAAACCAATTTAAAAAGCTGTAATCAGTTTAGAATTTGCCTTGTGCAAACAAGATTCCTGGGTAACTAAGTTACAAATGTAAAAAAACAAACATAACAAACAAACAGAGCAAAAACCCGATTAGATTCTAAGACTTTTAAAAAAGATACTGTCATGCCTATACAGCTATCGGATATGCTGAAGTTGATGATTTTTCTTTAAACTGTACTAGTTCAATCTGTTAAAGTCACCACTGTTCTTCTCTAACCTTAAAAAAAAAAAAAAAAGCAAACAGACATAGTTGCTTTCAACACTTACTCAAAAATCTCCCAATGAAATATTCCATGTTGCTGTAATTGTTACATTTACCCAAAACACAGGGAGGTTTACTGTGAAAAGTGAAATGCAAATTCCCTTATACATCATAAAATATATTCCTCCTCTACAAAGAATGCTGCCACCACTGTGATGCAAGGAACAGCAACACTCCATTTCTCATGGCCACTAAAAGTCTTTTTTTTTTTTTTTGAAATCTGCCATGTATAAAGACCTTCATTAGTATAATTAAATGACTGTTGGGTTTTTGTGATATAAACAACTTTTGATATGTCATTTAAAAACTTCATAATAACATCATTAAAGAGCTACCATTTTTAAAAGAGAAATTGTCTGCTCAGGGCCATGCAATAGTAGTCTCGCTCTGGGCCTCTTCCTCCTCTCCCTTTCAGACTTCTCTTGGACTTGAATGTCACCATAGACCTTGAATCCTTGAATGTGAAATGGCTTCACACTAATTGCTCTAATTGCTTGAAGATGTGCGGGCAGGTGAAACCTGATCCCATGGCCATTGTAGAGACCAAGAACAACACTGGAATGTTTACACAGTGGTTTGATTTTAATAGACAGAAGGGCTGAGTTTAAGACAGTGAAAACACAGCTAATAGGTGACCTCTTAATGTAGTCCTCCTTCAAAAAAATAAATAAATAAATAAAAGGACACACAACAAAATACAATTTCAATTGCGTGTTCTAAAAGGCAGTGTCCTAAATATCAAGGTTATTTGCCTGACTCTTGGAGTTGAGTACACGTTACATTGTACCTGACATTTTACACCCGAAACTCTACCCGAATACATTTTTTTTTTTTTTTACTTTAAAACAAAAAAGCACTTTATATGTCAGTCACCTTACAAACAGATTATGACTCTATGGTATTTTCAAGTAAGTGCATTCATTTAAATTTTAAATTGAATATTTTTCACTCCTCTGATAATCCTTGTCCCTTAAAGGGGAAGGCTTGTGTCTCCTTGTCTGGTCCTTTGCTTCCTCTGCCCCCTATTTATGGAATTCTCGACCTTTGTACATTCCTTGATTGCAGCTGAAGTTGAGCCCAAGCCCGCTCGCATTGGTGCTTTAGACAGATGTACAAACTTTCCGTGTCTTTTTCTCTTTGTTGCTGTGTGGGACTGTGATTTGCTTCTCACTTAGGCTAAGGTGGCCATGGGAGTGGCCTAAATAGTTATTCCACAACAGTGATATTTTAATGACTTGGAAGGGACACAGAGGTTTAACAATGGCACCTGAGGGTCTCTCTTAACAGGGCACAAATGTAACCATGCTGGATAGGAAATACCTGACAGCAAGGCCCAGATAAAAATGTGCCAGCACCTACAAGTGTCATGAACAAAAGTCAACTCACAAAGGTTAGGGGCAGTAAGTTTAGACAGGTGTTAAGATATACATAGATAATTTTTTTTTTTTTTTTTTT